ATGGGCATAGACATGAACATAGACATAGACATAGACATAGACATGAACATAGACATGGACATAAACATGGACATGGACATAGACATGGACATAGATATGGACATAGACATAGACATAGACATGGACATAGACATAGACACAGATATAGATATATAAGAGCCCCAGTGACACAGTAGTTAAGCTTGGATTCTATAAAACTGAAAGGCTGGCGGTTTGAATCCACTGGCCGCTCCTGGGGAGAAAGATGTTGCAGTCGGCTCCCGTAAGATTACAGCCTTGGAAACCCTATGGGGCAGTTCTGTTCTGTCCTCCAGGGTCACTATGAGTCCGATTCACTAGAGGGTAATGTATGTATTTGTCAAGCACAATGAATTGTATATTTGAAGTGGGTGTGCTCTTTTGTATTTAAATTAATTCAATAATGTTGAATTGAAAATACAGAACCATGCAATAAAAATAGAACGCTATAAAAAGAAACATTTAGAAAACATACCAACGACAAAATTCACTGAGAAAGAAAACAATGATAACAAAAACAAATTTTTAATAGGAAAATTGGAAGGTAAGTTGAGAAATTCACCCATGAAGTATAATAGGATAAAATGATGAAAAATGGAAGGGGGTAAGTCTATGAGATTTAATATTCTGAAAATAGGAGAACCCCAGTAAAAGGCATAGAAACTCTGATGGTGAGTGGAAGAAGTAATCAAAAATAGGTGATTTCTCATAACTGAAGGATATGAGTTGGTCACCTTTTATTTCTTCTCCTCACTTTTCTTCTCAAAAATTTTACACCTTTTATCTTTTAAAAGTAATCTCTGATATTTATGTCTCCAGGTCGCCCACAATGTCCTTCCTTATTTTCTCCATGATCCAGTGGTTCTATTTTTCCAAATAAGTCTCACCTCTGCTCTCGGACAACTTAACTGTACTCTTAATTCGCTCTGTTCCAGTTTCAGCTCCACCATGCAGCTCCAACTCTTGCACTTCTTGATTGTCTTTTCAGGAATTAAAAACAAAGTGAAAAGCAAAAAAAAAAAAAAAAAAAACACTCTTTTCCCTAGTCTCCTTTTTTACATTCTGACTATCCAGATATCTCCATTGTTTCTTACCTCTGTCCTCATTCTGATGATGAATTTTTTTCACAGACAAACACTATGTGACCTTTTTAATTTTTTTTAATGGAGTTCAAACTACCTGCACAGATGTATATAAGGGATAAAATTGTTTTATAAGGAAAAACATATAGGGAGATACGTGCCAGATCATACATTTGTATCCAAGTTTATAAACACCCTGCATGCGTTCTGTTTGATACTAATGGGCTGGCTGGGATGTGGTACCTTTCTCAGAACAGACACAATGCCTTCGTCAACGATGAGACTCACATGGGGAATCAAGTTCCTAAAATATTATCTACTGAAGTTATGCCTGAAATAATATAATCAGAGATTTGTTCATATAGATTGTTTTCTCTTCATCAGAAGTTAAAAATTCTACATATATATAGAAGATATAATTTTATATTAAGATGAAAATGACTTACTAACAAATTCAAAAACAAATATAAATATGTCAAAATAATGAAAATAAATTTTAAATAATAACAACAACAACAAAAAATATCCCAGGGAATGTGCAAGGAACAATGTATCCCATAGAAGTAAATAAATTTCAGTAAATATGATCTTGATTTTTATAAAAAAAAGTCTTCAAACCAATTCAGGTTAACTCTAATATTCTAGGAGTTAAACTTGATAAAAGAGACTGAAATTATATCATGTAGAGAAAAGGAACCTTCAATCTTATCCCATCTAAGAAAGAAACAAATGTGTATTTCATCACCAATGACTAGAGTCCAATGTTCCTGTGAAAATCATGAAATATGTCTATTTGATAGTTTTTTACAGTTAAATAAAAATTCTGGATAGGTACATTCATGCTCTTATTGTTATTCCTTCCCCTAATAGCCAGTATCTGAGATTATACTGAAATGTCTAAAAAATATGAGAAATGATATGTTAGTGACACAAAGAATCTGAATCTCCCGAGGATGAGATCACCATCTCACTTCACACACTTTCATTGTCTTGCAAACCAAATAAGATAGGCAAAACCAGGTCCTGGCACAGTGGCTTCACAAACCCAGAGACATCAGAGAGCAAGTGAGGTTTCTGGATAAAAGTGATCACAGCCACAGCCCCCTGAGACCGGCTAGTCCGCCAGCTTCTGGAACTGCTAGAGTAAACGCAAACAGCGCTGGGGAACTGAAATCTCTCAGGAGTCCAACACTCAGCGGTACAGTTCTTTACCTCTGGAATAGTCTGGTCCTGTACAGAGCATCTTACCTGCTCTCTTTTGACTATAGCTCTCCTGGAGGGTCTTCATCTTAGGAGAATCTGGAAATTTGAGAGTAGCGTAAGTCACCTCTTCAGGCATGACTGAGCAAATAAAGCACAACTCAATTACTCCGTTGCTGTATCTCACACTAAACTTCACAGAAGCTGTTGCTGTGGAGGTGATATATGCACGCTGGGACTAAGCCGTGTGATCTAACTTTGTAAAGAATCAAGCAACAAAAATAGGGTCAAAAAAGAGAACCGTCTTACTGAGAATTTCAGAACTACGTGACTCTCAACTTCCCACACCTCTCTTCTCTCACTTCCTCCAGATAAAGCACCTGAAATTGAAGACGTGGTATAAGGAGAGAATTCGTTTTTAATTACAAACTTTTCTTTTTTTTGTAATTCATGGGCAAACCATAGATCCCCAGATTTGAGCCTACCCTGGGTAACTTTGAATACAAATGAACGTGTATTTCTTTTGCTGATATAAAGTTGTTAATCAGCGTATGTTTAGGAGAATAGTGTTAAAACCACATGTAGTGTTTAGCCCACTCCTAACTTCCAGAAAACCACAGGTGAGCTCATTCTCATATAAATTTTTATGTCCTTCCCCTTTCAATTCCTTCCCATTGTTGTGGATGAAAAATAGACTTGAGAAGCTAAAAGCAGATATCTTTTGGTAGAATATTACCGGCGTAATAAAACATTAAGGAAAAATGATACTAAGAGAAAGAAGAGAAAAAGCGTAAGGCTACTACGAACTACACCAAGGAGAGATTTCCCCAAAACAGAAAAGCCAGCCACTAAAAAGAAGGGAGACATATTTTTAAAAGCTTTTACTTTTTAAGAGACAATTTTCTCTTTCGTGTTTATACATTCGGTTAACATCTCTTATCGAATTATAATAACCTGATTTCCGAGAGGAAGGTAGTGTATGTACTTGTATTAACCCATTTTAAAGATTTGGGAGTTGAGACCCAGGGAGGCCAAGGGCTTTGCTCACAGTCAGTCACTTTGTTTGGCAGAGGAGAACAGATTCATTTGTATCCTGAATATCTGGCATAATACAACCACATAACAGATGTTCAGTGACTATTGGTAAATGGATAGATCAAACATTTATTCAGAAATAACCACGGTATTGCTCAGTGAAAAGTAACTGTTAAAATATTGTTATTAATAAGAACACTTTCACTGATTTCCAAGAAAGATCAGGGCATTGTACAGTGAGCTGACAGAATCATCTCCTACAAAACTGAATAAATGAACTATCAGAAGCAGATTTTGGAAAGACAGTATTAAGAGCATTGATAGCAGGAAAAAGACACTACCTCCTACCACCAAATCTGGAACACATTTTCAATGCAGCGTGCATAACCCAGTAAGCAATATTTATAACTCACTGCAGTCAGGCACAAACACTGTGCTAGAGGGAAGAGACTATATCCTGACTGAGGGTGAGGAGGTTACGGGGGCAGAGGTAGGGCAGGAAACACGAGGTCACATGCATTTCAGTCCTTTCTCTAATTTTCAGTAAATTTGTAAGCTTGGGGAAATTGGTGGGCCTCACATTACTCAATTATTAACACCTGAGTGGGTTGAACCAAAGCTTTAAATTACACATGCTGAAACTTCTTAAAATCCTTAAAAGGTACACTTTCTTTGGCCCAGTAATCTCAGTCTTTGGACTTAACACAGAGGTGGATAAAGATCGGCTCACTAACGTGTTCATCACCTTGTTATTTCTGATAGTGAGAAATGAGAGCATCATTCAATATTTTTAAAAAGGAAAATTTTCAATTTTATTTCTTCAAATAATGAAAAATTTATCCAACCTTTTAATTTGTTCTAAATATGCAGAAATAATCAAATTGTAGTGTTAAATTGAAAAAAAAATCTATAATGGCAATTTTCAAATTTTGTAAAATTGAATATGTGTATGTGTCCATATGTGTTTATATGAATCCATGAATGTAGATATGAATTGTTGGCTGTGGTGATTCTGGTTGGTGGCATTATTGGCAGTTACAGGTAATTTTCCAACACTCACTGTCAGTTTGTTGTACTGTGGTGGCTTGTGTGTTGCAATGATTCTGGAAGCTATGCCATGAGTATTTCAAACGCCAGCGGGGCCACTCATGGTGAACAGGTATCACGGAAGCTTCCAGACTAAGACAGACTAGGAAGAAAGACCTGGTGATTTATTTCAGAAAATTAGCTAACAAAACCCTTATAGACAACAGAATATTGTCTGATGCAGTGCTGGAAGACGAACCCCCAAGGTTGGAAGGTACTCAAAATACACAGTGGCCAAAGCAATGGGCTCAAGCATCCCAAGGATCATGAAGATGTCACAGAACAGGCAATGGTTTCTCGGGGTCGCCAGGAGTCAAAGCTGACTCAATGGCAACGAACAACAGCACAGGTAATGTTATGTTTTCACTTGTGGTATTCCTGAAATTGCATATACAGTAAGTGATTTTCATATATATATGTTATATACATATATGGAACCCTGGTGTCACGGTAGTTAAGAGCTTGGCTGTTAACCAAAAATTTGCAGTGCGAATCCACCAGCTGTCCCTTGGAAACCCTATAGGGCAGTTCTACTCTATCTTATAGGGTCACTATGAGTTGGAATCCACTTGACAGCAACAGATTTGGTTATATATATACATATACATATATACATATATATATACATATATATATATACCAGTGAGAAAATTAATCTAAGTGGCAATATTTTCTCACTGTTTTTGTATTTCTGACAATGTTTTCAGAGTTATGTTGGAGAGTTTAGTGTAAATGTAGGAATGTAGGTTAAGGCTATTATGTAGAATTCAGTGCTATCTTTCTGATGGTTTGATAATTCTTTATTGTTCTCTACTATCAGGGTGGGTATATCATACTAATTTCAAATACAACTTTTTGTATTTAACTTGTACCAACAATAATTCACCCAGGATTACCTGATCTGATTGCCTCCTGGTTTATCCTAGGTGCTAGAAATCAGAACTTTATTGATTTGAGCAGATTGTGGAAAACTAATAACTATAGTGGAGCCCTGGTGATGGAGTAGTTAAGCGTTTAGCTGTTAACCAAAAGATTGACAGTTCAAATCCACCAGTCATTCTTTGGAAACCCTATGGGGGAGTTCTACTCTGCCCTGTAGGGTCACTATGAGTCAGAATCGACTCAAAGCCTTTTTTTTTTTTAATAACTGTAGTTACATTTAGAGATTTTATTAAAAGCTTAGGCTAGTCATTAGAATTATTATGAATAAAACAGACCAGAGGTCACCAGGAAACCACGTGCTTTTGGAAAAGTTCCTTATTGTCCCAGAATGCTATAGTGTCAAAATCCACAGACAACTCTGCTAGCAGGATTACTTACTTTCTTACTAGCTAAATTTAACATAAATGGAGGAAAAAAGCAGAAACAATAATAAGAAGTAACTTAGAGTAACACAGATGGCATGCATCGGTACCAGTGAACCGAGGTAATAAAGAATTTTTGAGGAAAGGGAGGAGGTTTGAGAGGACCTTTAAAAAGGGTTTGCTTTAGAAATGCAAACAGAAGTCTGCTCATCAGTGTTATTGCACCAGTAGACACAGCAGCCAAAAGATTAATTCTGTTCATTAATCTGCTATTCTGTTGATGTCCATCAACAGATGAATAGTTGAGAAAAATGTGGTATATGCATACAATGGAGTATTATTCAGCCATAAAGAGAAATGAAATCCGCATGCATTCCACTACCTTGAAAACTTTATGCTGAGTGAAATATCAGTCACAAAAGGACAAATACTGTATGTTCTTCTTTATATGAAGTAGGCAGATATAGAGACCCCAAAGTACATTAGTGGTTACTAGAGGTGAGAGGGAAGAGAAAGGCGGAGTTACTGTTTAGGGAACACTCAGTTTATGTTGGTGGGGTGAAATAAATTAGAATAGGACAGTGATACTAATTGCACAACTTAATGATTGCAGTCAATGTTACTGAATTATACACATAAAAAATAATTGAATTGAGGAATGTTTTGTTATGTATATTCTTACCACAATAATAAAATAAAAGATGGGTTTCCTCACTGGACGGCAGACAGCCAATGGCCACAGATGCAGTCATTCATTCGTATTCCTTCAGATGGTCAGACAAGCGGGCAGTTATTGAGGGACTTCTCTGTCTGCCGGGCATTGTACAAGGAGGTGTGCATATGGTTGTGGAAAAATAAACATGGCCCCCACTCTCAGGAACTTCAAAATAAACATGTGACTAGGAATTGGGATATATTATGAGAGCATAACGTGAGTTATGAAAGAATATTATGAGAGCTTATAAATGACGGACTCTGTTATAGTCTGTGGCCTCATAGAAGACTCCGCTGAGGAAGTAAAATTAAGGACATGTGGTTTGGAGGGGCCTTAGACATAGAATGAAGAAGAGCTTTTCCACAAGAAGGAACGGTTTGTGCAAGTCCTTAATGAGGAAGGGGAGATGGAGTAACGTTAGTATAGATCTAAGGAGGCTAGAGTGGCTGACAGGAGGTAGAAACGGAGAGATTCAGAGTGACATAAACAGCGTACTAAACCATGTGAAGAACACTTGTTTTATATTTTTCAAAGAAATTATTATAAAAATTTTAAATATGTATGAGTGTGAAATAATCAGATTCCTATTTTTTTAAAAAAGTATTCAATTGTGATATGGAGAAAAGATTAAAGGCAGGAAAAAGTGAATGAAGGAGCAGCTATCAGGATCCTAGTACTGTGGTCCAAGAGAGAGCTGATGATACCTTAGGGATATAACTGAGAGTGACGGAGACACTTAGAAATGGGCATACATTTAATATACTTATGAGATAAGATCTAAAAAATATTTATTGGTATGTTGTTGTGGATTTTGCAAAATTACATAGAGTGATGCCTTTAACTGTGATAAAGATACCGGAATAGGGTCAAACATGTTTGGGAGTTAAAATTATGAGTTCTATTTTAGACTAAATTTTATTTGACTTTGAGATATTGAATAGACCATTTAATAAATAAATCTTCAGTTCAGAAGAAAGTTCTAGGCTGTAAATATAAGAATTGTTGATGTTAACAAGGCTAGCATTAATCCAAAAAACACAAAATAATAATTGCTGGAGAAGTTATGGAGAGACTGGAACACTTATACACTGTTGGTGAGAATGTAAAACGGTACAACCACTTTGGAAATCGATT